AGAGTGAATTTTTAATACTAGCTAAACTCATTGGTCACATATCTGTCAAAATTAGCCTCCTTTCTTCCTATAGATTGAATGGGGAATGTTGACAGGGAGAAAAACAAAGCTGGTGAAACCATCAGTCTCTGTCCTTAACATGCTCTGTACATCATAAGGACAGTCCCAGTGATGAATTCTGTACATGAGGCAGGATTGGGATCATCCAAGTGGGAAGCAAATTTTATACTGTTAGGCATAAGGACTGGTAGATACACTTTTTCAGATTTGATGAATACCCCTAAATCAGATCCTAGGAATCTTTTCAAGTGTTATTGCATGATTGGAAGAAACCAAAAATGTTGCTACATTTAGATATTACATGAGATTTCTTTCTCTATGTGTAGTGGTTGTGGCCAACACATCTAAAGATATTGCAAGTACTGTGATGTCTATACCCAGATTAGATGGACCCATATGTGATTCAATTCTTCCTAGGATCTGAAGAAGCATTAACAAATTCAATATTGCCCTTTGATATCCACTTAAGGAGTTTAAGTGGAATGAAATAATCTTGCCAATAGGATAGCTTGTACTGGTACTTGTTCTATAGGTTTCTGGCTTCATTCTTGTTGATTTGGTTGTTTGTTGATGTTGTCATGAATTTTTCAATTGCATTTGGTATATTCTTGTGAGGACTTGATGGATGAGACTTTTAGGAACCTGGCCAACCATTTTTGTGGTATTTCACTCTATTTTGATCTTAAATAAATTGGCCTGTAATGAAAAATAGATGGTACATCGACAGTGCTTATTACAAAATATAGATTGAACTGTTCCAGCCAGTATAATTAACATTTATGTTAATTGTCTTAGCTTGATAATACGTATGTTAGCTCCTGAAATAAAAGACTGAGTAATATTTGTTTACCTAGCAAAGCATTCTGCCACTGTTGTGATTTTTTTGCTGGAGGGGCAGCCAGATATCTGGTTTATGAAGGGTTTAGTTATTTTTCTTTGAATATTAAGATCTGCCACTTAAAGCCTGGTGCAACAGATAACCACTTAGAATTAAACAATTCTAAGGTCAGGGAATTATTCTGAGTAGCAAGACTAACTGAAAATAATAGCACTTCCACACAGAACAATTGTGTCTTGGTTATTACCACAATTTTCATTTTTGCTTCAATAATATAATTTAGGTGAAGTTGAAGAATATAAAAGATTGGGTCTGTGGGTCTTTTGTGACCTCTTAAGTCACAAAGCACCTATTTCATCCCTTAATTCTGTCCAAGACTCTCCAAGAAATTGGGCCTGTTCCCCCACATTTGGAAAGCGGCCTTCAATGTGCCATATCAAGGGGAATCATTGTTGATTAAGCAATTAAAACCAGAGCTCTCCATTCTATCAATGGATTCAGGTCTACTGTTTATGCTTATTGTTCACTGCATTTGTGGTGGTAGAGGATATCCATGATATTATCAGGAGCTTTCAAAAGGCGTCTTTCTGATTTGTCACTCAGCACATGCTTTGTGGGGAAAAACTTGTTCTCAGAATATAATCCTTTAATTAATCCCTTACTGAATTTCTGAAGGCAAAGATCATTTTGGTCTAAAAATACTTAGTTAAAAACAAATATTACAGTATTCAACATCTTTATTTAGAAACATTTTCTAGTGGTATTAAGTATCATTAATGCAATAATCAAAATCTTGAACCCAAAATTGGTCATGTTCATTCTTAAAAATTCATACATATATTATTTCATTTGCTATGCATGCTTCAATAATGCTTCAATAATTTCTGAGCTCATGGATAACCAGCATCTCTCTGCTTTCATTAAAGCATCCTGGCTTTTTTCAGGCTTCTGCACAAGTCTGAAAAAAGAAGCTGCTGCTTTAAGAAATCATTGATTAAGATTACCATGGCTGTTAAAATAGAAACAGCCATATTCGAGTTTGTTTTTCACGAATAACAATGAGGTGCTGGGCTCAGGATAGCAGGCAAAAGAGTTATCTGGCATTGATCTGAAGCTGAAATCAGAGTTAAATTTAGACATTTGTTATTTTTAATTTGTCTCTGTCTATGTGTATTATTGCTAAGAGCGTCAAGAGTTGCAAATGGCCTAGATCTCTAAGAAGCCTGCATTTGACCTGCTCTGTTGAGCCATTAAAGCTGCCATTGATTAGCACAAAATACAGAGGGGTTGGGTCTGGGGAATGAGCAACCCTACTTCCATTGATTTCATGAGAGAAAAGAGGCTACATAAATGCATTGCTGTCCATTGTTACAGATCTAACCCAATACCAAGAGCCACTAGTTCTCTATTTTTGAAATTTTCTGGTAACAAAGTATCCAGTAAGCCTGCCTAAATGTGTTCTGCATTTTCTGATTTTGTGTGAAAAATCAGAAGATAGACTGAACCTTGATAAACTGTGTGTGCTTTTTCTGTTGAATAAAGGGATTCTTACAAGTAGCAAAAAACTGAGAATGTCACTGAACCTAACATGCCTGCCCAAATAAGAGTAAAGCTGTCCAAGGAAGATCTTCTGAATGAGCCACTTGTCCTTTCTCTCTTGATCTGCCGAAAAGCTGGGGGGGGGGGGAAGAAAGCAGTTGTTTTCATTCATGGATTTCATGACTAGTGGCAGAAACTGGCTTTGCCAAATAACCAGGGCTTTTTTTTTCATAGAATGCCCAGAACGGAGTGTTGGCACCTTTTTTGGATGGAATCTTGTAGGGTAGGCAAGACGGGTTGTATGACGTGTGTGAGTTCTGGCACCTTTTTTTTTTTTTAAAGAAAAAAAGCACTGCAAATAACTGTTAAGAGAATGGTACTAGAATAAAGGTGATCTAAAGCAACATGAAAAAGACCAAAAGTTGCTGCCTATTTTTGAAGCATTTTTCTTTTGGCTGGATGCTCTTCCTTGCCAAAACATGAAGCTTGCAGAGGGTGTGTATGAAACTGATAATTCTCTGGCAATATTTACAGAAAATTTCTCACAGCCCCTGCAGGTATAGATCCAGGAAACAGGACCTGACTGGACCAATCAGTACTAAGAGTTATTGAACCTCAGAAGTCAGTTTAAATCCAAGATTTCAGTTTAAGTGAATTCCTGTTGGGGCTTGTTTTTAATCCTGATTAAATATAGCTATAAGCTGTAACTAAGAGAGGAATCCAGGATAAGATCCTTTGTTTCTCCTTAACCAAAGTGAACACTTATAGATACTATTGACTTCGTATTAGAAATTTAACTTCAAGATGGAGAAAGCAGAAAGCAAAAATAAAGAAGAGATGGGTGTTATGTAAGTTATTAGCGTCTCTGGAGACAGTATGGCCTGAAAGGAAGCAATCTACATAACAGTACAACAAGTTTCCTTATCAAATTGAAACAACAAAATCCCATAACTATTTTCATCCTTCAGGGTGCACATATTGCAATAATATCACTTACATTTTAAATTACAGTTCAAGTGGTAAAATTTCTATTGAACACATGGTATTTTTTCATTTTTATCTGACAAATTAAATGTTATTATACCATCCATGGAACCACTGAATAATGCAATTGATGGCAAAGAATACTTAGGTACAGTGATAGGAATTTGCAGGATCAAAATAGTAGCTAAAATGCTCAGAAACTCATTCAAAAGTCTGCATAGCTAAAGTCCTCAAGAGAATACTGGGCTGATTTGTGCATGGGAACATTTTGTTCCAAACAGATAAGAAACCAAATTAACATAGATGTAGGCCCACATTCTTCAGTGTCCTGTGGAGATGCTACTTGCAGTCCTCAAAGGTTGTGATTACACATAAGCATAACACATCTTTGCAGAAGAAGAGCACAAGCTTGCAAGAAAAGCAGCATGAAGCAACACATAGTCATTTGTTTTCTTTTCCTCTTCACTACAGTAGCTGCTAGAAAATAAGAAAGGGGCAGGCAATCTTCCAGCCAAAGAAGCCCCTGAAATCTTTGCCCCTCTTCTAGTCTCATTTCTTCCTTTTCTGAACTCCACTTCTCTATAACTTTCCCTGCTTCCTCCTTGAAGTGGAATTTAGAAAAGAAGGCTCTGTCTACAGTACTCCTACCTCCTATCTTTTGCTCACTCTGAGTAGCAGACAGAACTGGTTTCACCTGTTCTGTTGTTCGTTCCAATATAGGCAACTCTATACTGAGCTTAAGCAGTTACCTCTGCCTCTTTATCCTTCATCTTTTAGCCAAAAAAAGGGACAAGTGAGCAAATAATGATTGTAGTTGCTTTGTGAGTGTGATAAGATTTGAGTGTATGAGAAGATTTGAGCATGCTATCTCTTCTCTTCACTAGCCAATCTCCATCTCAGCCCTTTGCCTTTTCCATTAGAATTTTCATTCTTGAGGTTCTGATTAAAACATTATATTTTCTCCCCCTTTCTGATTTTGGCACAATCTCCCCAGGTTTCCAGCAAGTTAGAGGAAAGACAGCAGATCAGATGTATTTGTGTTTATCAGTTTCCTCTACATTTGTGACTTTCAATCACTTCCACTTTTGTGGAATAGTAGCTGGGCAGTTAATGAGCTCATTTCTCCCACTGTTAGTCACCTAGTCATATACACAGTGCTTTTTTTCTTAAAAAAAAAAAAAAAAGGTGCCAGAACTCATACATGTCATACAACCCGCCTTGCCTACCCTATAAGGTTCCATCCAAAAAAGGTGCCGGAACTCCATTCTGGGCGTTCTATGAGAAAAAAAGCCCTGTATATACCTAATCATAAAAAGGACAACTTCTCTCCTCTTGAGTACTATGCAGCAACATTGTTTACTAGGATTTGAAAATGACATAGTTGAAGAGAACAGGAATTAGCAACAGGAGCAGCACATTTTCTTCTGGTCTTGATTTGTTTCAATTTAAAGATAAGTTGACCTTTCCTAGCATCCCAAACTATTAATCAAGCTAAAAGCTGTTGATCATTTTTAATTCAAATTTAGAGGAGAAAGGAATATTGCTTCACTAAATGTAACACAAGTTAAATATTTTTTAGGTTACCTAACCAAACTCCTGCGAAACCATACCGTTTATGCCTGTGACGGTGATCATTTGAGTCTCCAGTGTCCTCGGCATTCAACAATAAGTGTCCAATCTGCATATTATGGGCAAGCTTACCACTTGTGTAGTGCACAGCAACCTGAAGTCATGGCGAGAGAGGCACTAAACTGTGTGGCACCTACTACCTTGCAGGTATAAAATACTATATTATAGCATTTTAAACAAATCAGAAGTCTTTTAGATTACTTACAATAGATTAAAAATGAAATGAATAAAGTTTCAGCACGTTATATCTGAAACATGCAGGAGGATTTGTATTATTAATTATGAGACTTTATCGGATAACCTTTCTTCACAATTTTATCCCTTCAGAACAAACACTTTTTTCATATTAATACAGAGAGTAAATCTGAGCAGTTGTAAAGCTGATATTTGATTGTTCAAAAATTATAAAATGAGATTCGCATTTTAAATTACGTAACTTTTTAAATGAAACTGGTTGAAGTTTGACTGTAGTTAAGTACAGTGGCATACGCTATTCAAGAACGCATTGGAGCAAGATCTCATCATCCTAAGAGTAATCCAGTTTGGGTAGGGGAGGAGTTGTCACAGACCTAGTTGCTGAATGAGCTGTCTGAGTTCCTCTCTTGCCAAGCAGATTGGGACAAAAGACCACCCAACAATGTGAATGTCTATTAAGATTCATGGCCAATGGCCCAGTGTTAATTTGTGCCAATCCACAAGTTTTGTCAGAATGGTCTTGGCATTACTTTAGGTCAGTGGAGTTTCCTGAAAGACTTAAATCTATGTTGCCAACTGAAAAATTCTGGCTCCAAATTTTCAGTCAGTCACAGAATGTATAGCATAGTATTGATAACATAAAGGAATACTATCAATAATAAGTACATTGAAATATCTACCAGCAAATTTCATAGCAAGACTGTGTAGTACTCAGCTAACAATTCAGAGGATCTAGTATAGAGAATATCTGATTTCTCATTTTTGGCATTTTTGACTGCCTTCTTGAGAAACGAAAATATAATTGTAGAGCATTTTTATAATAATGCCATAATAATGCTACAGCCCAGTCACTTAATCATATATAGGCTAATTCTACTTAAGGTTTTGGGGAATATTGCTAATGCTGCCCCCTTTTAAGGCAAGAATTATTTCCTTAATAGAACAACTTAGAAATAGCAATATAAAGAATAGGAAAGTCTTTTCCTGAATAGAAATCATGTTAAAAAAGTGGTCAGACATGAATGACATGGTAGGATCTTTAATCCTCCTAATTGGCGTGATATTTACACATGGGCTCCCATTGTATTCATTCAATGCCCGTAAATACATTTCATTGAACTGTAAGAAGGCAAAGCAGATGGGATTGTAGGCTGAGGCTTCATATTCCAGACTGAGTTTAGAACAGTGGTTCTCAACCTTCCTAATGCCGCAACCCTTTAATACAGTTCCTCATGTTTTGGTGACCCCCAACCCATAAAATTAGTCCTTGACTTACAACAGTTTGCTTAGTGACTGTTCAAAGTTACAACAGCACTGAAAAAAGTGACTTATGACCATTTTTCACACTTATGACCGTTGCAGCATCCCCAGGGTCATGTGATTTACATTCGGATGCTTGGCAACCGATTCATATTTATGATGGTCACATTGTTCCAGGGTCATGTGATCACCTTTGCAACCTTCTGACTAGCAAAGTTAGTGGGGAAACCAGATTCACTTAAGAACCATGTTACTAATTTAATCTCTCCCTCTTTCTTTCTCTCTCCCCCCTCTCCCTTTCTCTCCCTCTTTATTTCTTTCTCCCTCTCTTTCTCTCTCCCTCTTTCTCTCTCTATTTCTCTCTCCCTCTTCTCTCACTCCCTCTCTCTCTCCCTTTCTTTCTCCCTCTTTCCCTCTCTCTCTTTCCCTTTCTCTCTTCCTCTCTCTCCCTTTCTCTCACTCTCTTTCTCTTTCTATTTCTCTCTCCCTCTTTCTCTCTCCCCCTCCTTTTCTCTCCCTCCCTCCCTCTCTCTCTCCCTCTTTCTCTTTCTCCCTCTCTTTTTCCATCTCTTTCCCTCTCTTTCTCTCTCTCCCTCTCTTTTTTTCTCCCTCTCTTCCTCCCTCCCTCCCTCTTTCTCTTTCTGATTGGGGATCGATTTGGAGGTGGGGAGGGGAGTGGCCGAGGGCTACCTGTGTGACCTTGAAGCTGACAGCAGCCTACAGGGCAGCGTGTGGGATTCCGGCACACCCTAGGATTGCCCGCCGGCACCTGGTTAGAGCAGGTGGCCAGAGCTCCATTGTGGCCAGCTCCGGCGGGGCGGGGATTCCCTGGCATCATGGAACACGGCACGGCAATGTCACCAATGGGCGGGGCATCCTGAGGCCACCGGCGCCTGGTTGAAGCAACTGGTTGGCACTCCGTTGTAGCCGGTTCTGGTGACAGCGGCAGGGATCCCCCACAGTTTGTGGCTTCTGCTGCGGTGTCCGGATCGGTTTCCCACCGTGCGGGCATTGGAATGTTTGATCAGTATTGGAGCTCAGTGAGCCCGGAGCAAGGGAGCAGCCACCCCCACCCACACTGTATCCCGACTCACCATCAGATGCCTATCACGGGCAGCTGGCCTGAGCCAACAAGGCGCTGGCGATCGCCTTGAGCCACTGCCACAGCCCGATGAGACCGTGCTGTGCCCGACAGGCAGCGCATAGTGGTCAATGAGTGCTGGGTGGGGGTGGCTACTGAGTGTGCGGCACCATTGTGGCCACTTCGATTGGTATCAAGAGTGGGGAGCGGAGAGCTGAGCTCAGCGAGCCTGGAGTAAGGGAGCAGCTCCCTCACCCACGGCCAGCCCCCGAGTCACCGTTCTGATCAGCATCAGCAAAACAAATGTGGGCCTCGATTCCCACCTGCTGCTGCGGGATGAGTCCTCTGGGAGGGCGCGCACCATCTGGCTGCTTTGCTTTCCCCTCCGTAAAGCCGGGCACCTCGGGGAGAGGGGGAAAAGACTTGAGCCCCGGGAGGCAATGTGAGGGCCATGAGGGGTATCGCAAGCTCGTGGGAGGGGAGAGGAAAAAAAATGGAAGAGAGTGAGGCCGCAACCGAGAGAGAGAAAGAATGGGGAAAAGAAGGAGGCAGTTGTGAGGTTGGCTCTCAGGGCCGCAACGCAAGCAGTCTCAAACAGCTACCTGCAAGTGGATGGCTCTGCCCCCTTCAGGCTCGCGCTTGCTTCTGAAGTAAGAAGAGGGGGGAAGGACGACACGGATCCTGCACAATGAGTCCCTGGGGAGGGCGGGGCCTTGCTCTGAGCCTGCGCTCTTTGCATGCTCTCAGTAGGGTTCCTGCAGGCCGTTGCCAAGCAACTTGTTTTCAATTTCAACAAGCAAGTGAGCTGGGAAGGAGGGGGGAGAAAGGCGACGCCGTGGGGGGAGCGGCAGGGGGGAGAAAAAGCCATGTCTTAGGCGACCCCTGTGAAATGGTCGTTCGACCTCCAAAGGGGTCGCGACCCACAGGTTGAGAACCACTGGTTTAGAAGCAAAGTCATTGATTTTGGTTCTGCTTTTTATCCTGCATTTTATCCTGCTACAATAATTGAAAAATAATAAGATATTTGAGCATTATTCTAGTTTAGTATTTTTTGTTTTAAAAAGTTGGTAGGTACAATATGAAAGGATATCATAACATCTAGGATTCATTCAGCAAAAGGGAATAAAATTATATACTCTTTTGTTAGGGAGTATTATTCTACTATAGGCAGGTAAACCAGCCTTCCTGCAATCTATATTTGTATTAGTACTATTTTGATGGTTTTCAAAAGAAAAGAAGTATAACACCTTAGTTGTAAACTAGATTTGAGTATAAAAGTTGAAGAACATGAACACAAAGTCCTGATGATTTATATAGGATTACTATTATAGTTAATTGCATTTATTTTGCTTTAGTAATAATGAGCAGTCTGAATTCAGTATGCAGTACTTGAACCATCATAAAGATATTCTGTTCTTACTGCTAAGCAGAAATCTCCAACATTTTTTCTGGTGGTAGATGGTTTATATGTTACTTATGACTGTTGCAGCCTCCCACATGGTTGTGTGATTTATATGCGGATGCTTGACAACTGGTTCATATTTATGACGGCTGCAGTGTCCTGGCCAGTGGTGGGATTCAAATATGTGAACAATAGGTTCTCTGTGTGGATGCTCCTTCCAGAAGTCCGCTGGGCCTGGGCAACAAAAAATTAGCTACCGGTTCTGCCGAAGTGGTGCAAACCAGCTGAATCCCACCGCTGGTCCGGGGTCATGTGACCATCTTTTGAGACTTTCTGACAAGCAAAGCCAGTGGGGAAGCCAGATTCACTTAACAACCTTGTGGCAAAACTCACTTAACAAATTTCTCACTTAGCAACATAAATTCTGGGCTCAATTGTGGTTGTAAGTCGAGGACTGCCTGTATATGTTATTCCTGGATTGGTTGGTTTTTAGGATTTTCATTACAGTTTCAATATATTTTTCTCCTAAAAATTAGTTGTTTTCTGCAACAAGAACTCCAGGGAGTTAAACAGTTTTCCCCTACTTAAATTCCAGTAGATAGAATTGTATTGAAATTATATTGAATTGATAGAATATAAGATTATTAGGTAGACTATGAGAGTATTAGATAGAATATGAGATTATTAGATAGTACTTTTCACTATATTGTTGTTCTATGGACCTTTCTTTTAATTCTATGTGTTGTTTTCTCAGTTCTCTTTTATTTGTTAGCATGAAAATATCACCTCTTGCCCATTTTAAATATATTGGCTCCAAGTATTTACTTCCAGAAATTTGAGGAAAGTGGTTAAAAGCACTTTGTTTCTTAGTGCTAATAATGGCAGTAAAGCCACAGTATATAAATATTTATAGTCTTAAACAGCCCTTCATTAGAAGTTAATTTAAGATAGCCAAGTATGACAGAAATGCATTATGCTTTGTATAAATTTCATTTACTGATAGCTGAACTTGTCTTCATTTAGTGAGGTTGGGGAGAATTAAAAATGGTAATTTCAAAAGTAATTTACCATCATAATGTTAATTATGTATTTCAAGTTCATTGAATTGTAGATCTTCAGATTGCTTCTCTCATGATAGTTTCTGAAATGGAACTCTGACATTACTACAACTTCTTGTTTTTCCAGTGTTCATGAAACAACTTGTAGTGGAGATTTGAATCTAGGCTTCTCATATTTAAGTTTTACTCTTTAGAACAGAAACATTTCTGGTAATGTGTTAATATTATTTCACATAATTTGCTTTGGAAATCTTATTTTAGTACTCTGATAAATTTATTACTGTTAATCAGTGGGTAATGTTTGTCATGATAGATCTTAAATTGTCAGGATTTGCATTGTTGTACAGTTATTTAAACTGTTTTTTAAGACTTATTTTGGGTCATTATTTTAGAAAGTATTCGATGAATGCCAGGACCTGAGAGACTGCCAACTCCTTGTTAATAGTCGACTTTTTGGATCTGAGTTATGTCCAGGAGTCACTAAATACCTCCTAGTCTCCTTTAAGTGCCGACCTAGTAAGTGATTTGCAGAATGACCAAACACCATTTTTTATGTATGTTTCTTTCAGTTTAAATTGTAATAACAGCACTTGCATGGAATTCTGCAAAGCCCTGACCTGGCTAAATTCAAACATTGCAATCACATGTAAAAATGTTTGTTGTGCTTACCCTTCCCAATGTGGGCATCTTGTAAATTAGTGAATTTCCCTAACCAGGATGAACTTAGATGAGAATTCTTGGTACTGGAGTCCACATAATAGGAAGGTGCCCAGAGCAGGAAGCACTGGCTGTCTGTAAAGATAGTAGCTGATAATGTAAATATTATAGTTAATGGCTTTGCATGTTACGTGGATTGTAGTTTATTAAGTAAACTGTGTTTATAGAAAGTCTAGCTTAGCATGGTGTGCAAGCCCAATCAAATTACTGTGTAAAATCTTGTGGATATTCTTGAGTGCATTATTCTTCCCTATTCATGTATACACATGTACATGTGTTAATGCTAGATAATGTATATAAAGATTCTACAGAGCCCCAAAGCTTCCTGTAGCTGCTTTTTAAATATATTCACATATATACAAGAGTATTATCAGAAATGCCTGAAAAATATTTTTCGATATTATCCAGAAACAACCAGCAGTCTTGGGCCAGAAACTGTAAAGTAAAAATTATAGAATTATCACAGATGTCTGTGGATTCATCTTTACAACCTGAGCTGTTTTAATTACATTTCTCCTGGGTTTGTTTGAGTGGATAGTATAATAAAAAAACAAAAGAAGTAATAGAAAAGTAATTTATGGAGCTGGGAAGTAATTTATGGAGCTGGGAAGACCTGTTAGAGCTGTTGTTGACATCCCTTTAAATTTTAACTCTTTTTTTTTTCTTTTTAAATGTCTGGTGAGAAATGCTCTGTAGTTGGTGTTTTTGTTGTTGTTCCCCAATAGATGCTGGGGAATAAGAAAGGACTTAGTGGTACATGCAGCCTAGAAACAACAGTTTGTCTATCAGCACTCAGAGTCACCGGGAGTGAATCCTCTCTCTCCCTTAAGGTCCCTATTCTGTATGCTAAGGGATTAGTTTGGAATATGGCCAAAGAAATCTCTTGCCCTATTTTGTCTAGTCCAATGGGGTACAACTGGTTATCAAAAAAAATACACAGGGTATATAACACATGGTGAAGAGTATCAATAATTATGAATGTTTAAATTAGACATGTCAAACACAAGGCCCGGGGGCTGGATGCGACCCACGAAGTGGTTTCATGTGGCCCATGAAGCCATCCTGGAAACAGTGAGGGAATGGCCCCCTCTGCCTTGGCCCTGGCCCAGGCCGGTCGGGAGCCAATGTACAATTTTGTGGTGGCCATCTATGCTGAAACAGATTCAGTCTTAGCTCCACAAGGCTGTCTAGAAACACCGAGGAACCAGCCCCTGCTGTGTCAGCCCCGCCCCCTGGGTGCATGCTGGGGAGGTGTCACCCTTGTGAGGAATGAAGAAATGGACCATGCCTTGGCGCTTGCCCCAGTTTCACCCCCTTCTGCCAGAGACTCTCAGATCTGTCCCAGGCCCACACAGGCACTCTTGATGCGAACAATGTAGAGCTGGCCATGCCCACCCAGTAGGCCACACCCACTCCATCCATGCCCACCCAGTAAGTCGCACCCACCCTGGCCATACCCACCCGCCCCCCCCCAAGGGCAACCGCAATGCTGATACGGCCCTCAATGAAATTGAATTTGACACCCCTGGTTTAAATCATCTGCTATAATTCTCCAACAGGATAGGGATTGTTCTTAATCTTATTTGATTTCCATTCTACCTTTTTACCAGAGAAAAGTAGTATGGCACTCAGTATTGCTCAGTGGTATAGAATGGAGTTAACAAACCCCTATTTAGAACTATTATTGTCTTAGCTGGATCTCTCAATAAGTATGTGATTCTTTCACCATTTATCTCCATTGCATACACAAGTGGCAACAGAACCTGCACAGAATGTTCTTTTCGCTTATCCAAGAGTCCAGTTATCTCTCAATGTTGCTTTTTTGCCCCTTTCTTTTTCAGGTGAATATAAAACTAGATCAGTGTGTGAAAATGAAGAACTGAAACTACACTGTCATGAATCAAAATTTCTTAATATCTACTCAGCCTCTTATGGCAGATCTGCCCATGAAATGCACTTCTGTTCAACAAAAATGAATCACCTTCCCCAATATGGTAGGCTGACAAAGTTTAAGTGAGAACTCTTTATTCCAGAATTTAAGTATTACAACTTTTGTTTTTATCCCATAGGAAAAAATGATTTGCCTTTCCTAACTCCCATTAGCATGGGGGTTGAATGCTTGTAATTGTTTCCCAATTCAAAATTATTGCAACTGAGCAACTGTGAGGGTATGACGTGAAATTTACCTGGGAAAGACAATTATGGCTTCTTTATAGTCGTGTTTCTTCCACATTGCTTTTTCATGCATTCCTCTCTGCTTCTGCTTCTATGTTACCGAATAGTGTAAATGTTAAAAATGATTAAAGGGAAATAATTCTAAATTAATAGTAGATGTTAAGTAGAATTGGAGATCGTTAATTTACACATATATTTATTGTATCAAGGGATGACTTCCAAGTAGGTCAAGATCTCCAAATGAAGCTCTAAATCCATTGTATGTAAAAGTCAGATTGGTCTCTACCTTGCAAAAAAATCTTTCTCACTGCAGCTTACATGCTTTGAACTGTCCTTTTCTTGCTGGTTTTTAAAATGTTGCTTACCCAAGGATTTATTACCTTTGTTTTTATATAAAATATTAGTATTTGTTTAAATGCCTTGCATAGGTTTCTCTGGTTCTTAATCATAGGGCACAGTAATTGTCAGACAAAATACCAAATATTGTATCTTTATTGAGGAAAAAGAAAAGAATTAGGGATGGGGAAAACAAAGAATTGTAAAGATTAGCCAACAAAACCCTGACTGCTCTTTAGAAGGCCAGATCCTGAAGTTGAAACTCAAGTACTTTGGCCACCTAATGAGAAAGAAGGACTCACTGGAGAAGAGCCTAATGCTGGGAAAGATTGAGGGCAATAAAAGAAAGGGACAACAGAGAATGAGGTGGCTGGATGGAGTCACTGAAGCAGTATGTGTGCGCTTAAATGGACTCCAGAAGATGGTAGAGGACGTTGTCCATGGGGTCAACTTTGCAACTAACAACAACAACAAGCCAACAAAAATATTAAAACCTTTGTGCCAAGCTCTGACTGTAAAGAAGTCCAGGATGCAACTCAGTTAAGTGCTCATCCATAAAGAAATAACCTGAGGAAAGCTTTGGAGTTCCAGAAATAAGCATGGTTGCCTTAGTGAGATTTCAGCTGAACCAAATATCAAAATCTAAATCTTTGACATCCACTTTGCTCTAAAAACTACAGCACTCTAGAGAGAATCAGAACTAGCTTTTCTGTTTCTTTATGTTTTAATTAAAATCCAGCATGAAAATTTTGTTTCTGTAGAAATTTTTTTCTGAGAGTCCAGAAAGATCTGCACCTTATAGACAGGTTCCACCTGGGACAGCACAACCCCATCAAAAACTAACATTGAAAAATCCCTGGAAACAGTAAATCCTTAAGTTACTGAAGAAAAAGGTGGAATCTAAAGAAAACCAACAAATAAATAATAGACTTGGAGTTATATTATAAAGAATAACAATACTCACTTTCTTACTGATCCTTCCTTCAAATCCCCCTCTAAAATGGAAGGATTTGATTGACAGAGTGGAAACGATAACACTGGTTTCTGAGTTTGGCTTCTGATGGTTGTCATAAATTCAGCATAAACTCCTGCATAAGGAGATAAGCAACCACACCATGTCTCTTTGCTTATCAGGGAGATCCTTTTTTACCAAAGAGAGCCAGATGTCGTTGGGGGGTGGTGGTTAAAATTATGATGATAACATCAAACTCAAAAAAGAATATAAGACTTGAGTGTACTCAATGTACTGATGGATTGAACAAATTGACACAAGTAATACAAACATATCTCTTTAAACATGATTAAAACTAATAATGGAATTCCATGTTAGCACAAAGAAGAACAAGACAAATCATAAATTGATTTATTTAACTTAATGATCTATATAAGTAACTGATCTGCTACATCTGTCAGTCTGCCCAGTATTTTGGATTGGTTAAACTAGGAAATTTAGCCACTTCCCATTTAGCCCTTAATATAATTTCAAACCAATGTTTGCCTTCAGATTCCTAATAATCAATTAATAGGCAATATAGCAGTCGAAAGACAATATATTGCTCAAGGTAAATTTACCTGAAAGAGTCTGGCTAAAATTTTAAGACAACGTATGTTCATAAACCATACTGTAATTAGCATGCTTGGAAAAAAGTTATACAATACATACTTTAATGAAAGGGTCACATTCTTGGTGAAATGATATATAATATTAAATATGTGGTTTCTTTTATTGTTTCTAACATAGCTTTTCTACATAATATATCTAGTGGAACAGAATAATTTCTATTAGCATGCAGAGGGTGGTGTTACCTCTTCCCACTGTTGCAATTCCAATTAAAAATAATTTCCCTGAAGCCATTACTAGTCCTAGAAATTAACCCCCAAAGCAAATTGCTCTGAATGAAAGCAGAAGGTAATTTGCACCAGAATCTACATGCCACATCCCTACTCTTCCTGTTCCCACCCCACAGTATTTAGAACTTTGATTAATACTCTGCTATTTACCAAACATAATTGAGATCATATTTCTTTCTGACACATATCCTTCCAGTATTATACAGTCAGTAATATACAGTACACATTGGAGTAGGAGCCTCAATTTCACTATAATTGGCTGTAGTTATTCCATTGAATAGCTAGCTTTTGTATAGTAGAGATGAGACACCAGAACTTGAAAAAAGAAGAGGCTTTCAACAGAGAAAAGAAGACTTGCCAGTTTTATTAAACTTTGTGCAATTTATGGCTTCAACAACTCTGGATAATTTGCATGTCAAAACCCATCTAAAACCCAACTAATTGGTGACTTAAAGGATCTTTCCTTGAAAACAACAGATGCTGGACTATTAAATAGCAGCTCAGACCAGGACTGATGTTTTATCACTAGCTTCAGAACTGCTTTGATGGTTGCTTCTTTTCATTTCCAGCTGAATAAATGTGCACCAAATAAAATCCATCAGCATTATTTGGCATCTATCTGGTTGCTAACCACTAACTGCAAAAGATGGGCAAAGATTGCAAGGGTTTAGAATGAACTGTATTCTTCCTCCAGAGATGATCATGAAACACAGTTTTTTGTTTTTGTTTTTAATTCCCATCCTTTATCTTCAACTTAAATGGGACTGCTTTGATTTTGTTTTTAAAAAGTGGCATGTAGATTTCTTATCCTAAACCAATTCACTACATTTGGATATTATTTGATTATATTAGAAATCACAATCTTAACAAAGGAGAGTTCATCTAAACTACATGAAGACTACTCAGTTCAGGCAGGAAAATCCAACATTTTAAGATGCATAAAAGGGAGATATTTTGCATTTTCAGGATAGTGTGGAAGTATCCCAATGTATATGCAATCCCGTCCCTGTAAGTACCATCTGAATCAATAGTGCTCATCTACATGCATCTAAATTTAAAGTTTTATCTCCTTGTTTCGAAATAACTATTTATACATCTTCCAAGCTATTCCTCAATCTTCCAGAGCAAAACCTCAATTTTGCTTTTATAATTCTGTGTGTTTATTTATGTGGAGCAGAAGGAGAGGAATGTCATTGTCACATATCTGAAAGCATTTTCCCCTTTATTAACTGAAGTAAATTACTGGCACACGTTGCATTAATGCTTATATTGATAAAGCGAAGATCTAAAGCAAAAATAATAGAGAATCCATTGGTATTTTTTCTCCAGCAGTAAACAGTAATATGTATGCACATGCATATGTATATATCAATAATGAAATATGTTTTCATTTTAAATTAATTAGAATAATATATTAATTCTATTTTATTTTAGGAAAATGTCTAGAATTTTAATCTGCATTTTGTGGTTTTGATAGTTTATTTTCTACTACCTTTTATTTTTATTTTAGTGTTATATTTTCTTAGTTACTGTAAGCTGTCTTATGAATGCAAATAAGTATTGAAAAACAGAATGAAAATTCCAAGGTGCAATGATTCTGTTCTTAAACTAGACAATTCTAAATCAGGTGTGCCATATTTGCTTCAGAGACTATATAAATTCCTCTTCTGACCCTAAGATTGACCTTGGAGTGTTAAGGTTTGTTTTGGCTTTATTTTTATTTTATTTTTTTGCCACATTTCAATAAGTTGGCTACATTGGGGCTGTTGTATTTAATAATTAAGTTTAACTGCTCTGAATTGGTTTACCCTAATTCAGTCTGTGCATTCAATCCGCAGCAAGAGCTCTTCTTGTCTCTCCAGTGTGTTGGGTGGTAATTGGCTTGATCATATATTCTTATACCATCTCTGCATAGAGCCAACCACAAATTTTGGGGAATTATGGAAATGATCACTCCTTCCTTGCCATCATTGGGCTTTATCAGAAGCAATTTCCATATAGCTTTCTGAGTTAATGTTATTCATGCACCAACAGATTTATATCTCTGCAAGCACGTACCAGTAATCTCTTCAAATAAATCATTTTTGTTCATATTTGTATATATGTGCATATTTCTTTCTCCTTTTAGATTGTTTTTCCTATTCAGCTTTAGAAGTCTTGTCGAAGAAGTGCTATGGGAAACAAAGGTGTAAAATTATTGCTAACAATCATAACTTTGGAAGACCATGCATGCCTGGGGTGAAAAAATATCTCAATGTCAGCTATGCATGTGGTAAGAAAAGTATGAAAATCATAAAATTTACAAACTGCAACATTTCAAAACCTGGGCATCTTGCATATAGATGTAAAAATCATATTATTCCCATATTTTAATATCTAAGATAAGTATGATAATTGAAATGCAATTTTTTATGATTAATATAATTTGACTTGAAAACACATTGGCAAAAATCTAATTATATTTCTTGGATGGATCCAGTTGAGGAGATTCTTTTTGGATGATCATCAATCTTGAACGTAGTCAGGTAATAGTCAAAAGGCCCTGTGGAATTTGGCCTGTTGATTATTGAACTGTACAAGATTACACTTCTGCAGCACCTGTGCTAGGGTTGGATGAGGGATTAGATTCAGTCTGTGCAAGTCCTGGGTTATTTTTGGCAGGTCATGAAGTAGGTGTGATGCAGGCAGCATCATTAACAAGGCAGAGTAGAGATTAAATTTAGGCTGGCACATTGTGCTATCTCACGGACTGGAAAAAAGCAGATTAAGCATGTCCTTAATTTGGTGAACTGTGCCTGTGGACTATATTTTTATATTTTTTTATTTGTACTAGTTATTTCTTAATCTGTTTAATATTTTGAATTGAATATTAGTGCATATGTACTATTATTTATGTACTAAATTATTAAATGAAGGCAAATATACACGTTCCAGGACAATGTTGTACGATCCAATCTGGGTCGGTCACCGGGACCAGAGATTTAGTCTTCCGAGCTTTCGGACTTGTGCTGGAGCCCATTTTCACCAACCATTTAGTTAGATTATACGTAGGGGTATCGTAGTGCTACAATAGATCTGAGGGTGCCTCCCTATCTTGGGGAGTCCGTAGAATCTCATTCCTCTCATTTTCCACCAATCTTTCTCCATTATACAGTCATTTTGCTTGAGTTGGCTGAGATAAGCATTCAGTTGGGTGACCATTGTTCTCATCTCTGATGTCTTTGCTCATCTGTGTGCTGAGGAATCATTGAGCAGGGTAAATGCCTTCATTTCATAGTCTGTGTGGTTCATCACCACTATTGAGTGGCCTTTGTCTTCCGGTAAAATAACGATGTCCTGATCTTGTTTTAGGTCTTTCAAGGTGTGTCGCTCCGTTGGGTTGAGCGTATTGTTTGGTTATGTATTTTATAAATAGCTAATTGTGATAGTTTAATCTGGAAAAATGGCTTAATAAATTTTATAAACTACTATACCAATAGAAATGACATTTAATTTTGACTTCATGGTAGTACTTAGTTTCCAGGATCTTTTTTTACAGTAGCTATATAAGACTTGATTCGATGATGATGATGATTTTAGCAAAAACTAAGATCCACCAAAAGTTCCTGTAATGATTTTTTTTTCTGAATAACTTAGTTTTGCCTCTGGGGTAATCTGTATAACCAGCATTTCTAGTCCATGTTTGGTCACTGACCATTTCTTAAGGGCAAGAATACATATGTCATTCTCTACCTACAAGCTATTCATTTCTTCTCCTGGTGGTTCTTTCTTTTTAACAAAGTGAAGTTGACAAGAATTGTACTGCTTATCTTTAGCTGAAGTGAGAGGAAAAATGTAATTTGTTTCTTTCACTGTCCACTAATGGATACAATGAAAACATGTCCAGTAAGATGGGAATCAAAAGAAGAAGGGTCAAATGAGAAGCCTATCACATGTTCTCAAAGACCCATCCACAAAGAAGAACCATTGGTGCTTGTTTCCCCAAAATAGGTGAATCAAGGGAATTCAACAGTTAGGAGGCATAATAGATGGTCTGGCCATCATGATGGTTGAAGCAAAAGAAGGGCTCATATTCCAAGAAGCAATTTCATAAAATATCTATATTTTCAGTTAGTCTATGATTGGCAGTGAAACAGCAATGCAATGCATAAAAGCCCCCAATTCAGCAAGTGACATATTTGTATAGAAGTTGACTTCTCTTTATAAATATTTTTGATTGACTGAACTCTCAAATGTAAAGCGTGAAGGGAAAAAGCTGCTAGCAAGCTTCCCAGTATTGTCTGTAGGTGGAGCAGGACGTATGTTTTAAAATCACTAGATAACATTTTTAATTTTCAACTTTACAGTTCCCAAATTCATACTGGCAGCAATTGATCCAATGGTTACCATACTCCCTCCTTCTTGGAAGCCAAAAGAAGTTGAATATGGTAAATTTAATTGTTTGTTATGGACATTTGCCTTTAAACATTTGAGTGGTTTAATGATCTAAAAGAGGAGGGGTCTCTCTTCATGATACTTGAAGGACTAATGTTCAATTCATTTTGAATGCTGTAGCAGAGGCAACACTTAAAAAAGTGATACAAAGAAATGAACAGAACTAAGAAGCTGAATCTAAACTAAAGACTCAATTGACTTCATTGACTTTGTTATTTGTCACATAAACAAACTTTATTGCAGAACTTGTAAATAAAATAATCATCATTTTATTATTAGGAGTTGACTAAAGATTAATTCTTCACATATCTAGTTGGTGGGAATCATAGCTTAAAGCCATAGTGGTGAACCTATGGCATGCGTGCCACAGGTGGCACTCAGAGCCCTCTCTGTGGGCATGCACGCCATCGCTCCAGTTCTAAGCCTTCAATTGGGTTTTATAAAACCTTTTTGCTTTAGGCCTCTGCCGCTGTGTGCAAAAAAAAAAAAAGGTTCAATCAATCAATTTCAACTTCTTGTGGAAAAAAAAAGATCTCGCAAAGTTGAAATTGATTGATTGAACTTTTTAGTCCCACCCAGTCTGCCGTTACCACCACAGTCACACCCACCCAATTGGTCATGCCCACCCAATGGGCCACACCCACCCAATGGGCCACACCCACCAGGCACCCAATGATACTTAAATGTGTTTTGGGTTGCAGTTTGAGCACTCAGTTTCTAAAAGGTTCGCCATCACTGGCTTAGAGCAAGGATGTCAAACTGCTGGCCCACATGCCAGTTTCATCATACCGAAGCTGTGCCCACCCTATTGCTGGCAATGCAAAAAGAGTCACGATAGTTGTGATCCGTCACGTGATGTGGGAAGTTTGACACCCGTTGGCTTAGAGCATGTTTAGTGTGAAGAAACATCTTACTAATTTCCTAGTATCAGCAGTGTTAAAAATTCCTAGGGAAAACAGGCAACAAACATCTTTTCTTAAAAAACATTCTCTTGTATTTATGAGTTGTGTTATATAATAAAGTAAAATAGAAAATTAAAATAAATTTTGCTTTAAAGCTTCATAAAATGTGTTATGAGACAACGTGGAAACATGGAGATGTTAAAGAAGGTAATTGCTTGCGGTAGGATATTTAAATTATTCATTTAACACTTTGGTTTTCAATTTGGAAAGCTAGTTCAATTACAGTCTAATTTAGGAACCTTTTTTTTCTTTCATACAGATATAAATTTTGATCCAAAAGAATCAAGAATTCCAAAGAAGGAAGGAATTATAATTAGCAGCAGTTTGGCTACATTTGCATACATTAGAGGTAGAACACTTGTACTTTGTATTCTGATAAGAAATCCTATTACTGCTAGCAATTTCATTTTTCCAGAATTAGTATAAAATATTAAATATACATAATATTTATGGCATTTAAAACTTCATTGAATTATTATGTTATATTATTTTGTGAATAATATCCTAGTTAACAAGGTGCTTAAAGTATTATTTTGCTTTACTAAACTCTATAGAGGAAAAATCCTTGAAGAGATAATTCACATTTTTTCTGGTACTGATGGCTATTGGCTGAGCTAAAAAATAGCATCTGGAAAAATAGGGGGAAATGGATGTGTTTAGAACATGGGTGGAAATCTACTGGGAAATACCAGAGTTGCAGGCAACAAAATTGGGAAAAAAAATCTCAGAAAAAGATAATAGTAAGCTATTTGCATATCGTTGCAAAAACTATATAGATCCATCTCTTACATTACCTAAAATCATATTTGACTTAAGAGTTTTCTTAATGTTGGTATTGTACTTTATTTTCATTCCAATATTGCTGGCCAGAAACAAGTTAGCAAGGTCTGATGGACTATGTAGATTTAGATACTAAAAGATTGTCTCAGAAGTCTAGGCTTTTCAGAAATGACAGCAAATTATTATTACTCCCATCCACCCCTACATAAGACTCTAGTCTGGGATTTTATTTCTAATTTCAGATCACCTTGAAAGAGCTGCTCTCTTGTTTGTGTCTAGTGTTTGTATTGGCCTAATGCTCACAGTTTGTGCTCTGGTAATGCACATTTCTTGCTGCGATGATATGTTAAAGCTACGGAGGATGAAAAAGCATCTAGTGCTAGAAAATCAGAAGGCTGATAGAAACAATGAAGATGAGGAAAAAGAGGAAGAGGAAGAGAGAGAAGAATCTTCTGTTTCAGATTTTACTGATGAACTAACAGGATTATGCAGGACTTCATATACAGCTTATTGTGCCCTGGATGCAGCCGAATTGGCTGAGAGGATAGAGAGGCGAGAACAAATCATGCAAGAAATCTGGATGAACAGTGGCTTGGAAGCATCTCCTACCAGAAGCTTCAGCCCATTCTATATCAATGAACAGCAGTGCATTTGTTTTGGATAACATGCACCTCTTTTCTTAAACTACCTTCTGTGAAGGATCATCTGCAATGTAATGTAATAATTATTACAAAGCTATATAAATAATTTAAAATACCTTAAAACAGTTTTTAGTATGGCATATTTTGAATGCTGGCCTCCAGTTTATCCTATTTATTTTACCTCTGAACTGTTTATAATTGTTTGAAAAGTATATGTTAAAAACCAGCACTACATATATTTGCACTAAGAAGAAGCTGTTTTGGAGCATAAAAGGTAAGGTTGATACAGCTAAGATCACTATGCAGATTTTTTTTTTTCATAATAGCTTGTAGACATATTCTATTAGTTCAAGCTAATCAAATCTAAATGTTTTCCTGTCTTGAAAATGTCCTATATTTTATTGCAATCTGCAGGAAACTTGAAGAACAAAGGGAGGAAAAATGTCACTTCCTACTTATGAAATTTAGAAGTGTCTGAACTTTCCCTATATGTTCATATAGTGACATGAACTGTAACGGGTGGGGCACCTTTTGATTTAAAAAAAAATTCTGATGGGTTTAAAGTAAAAATTGGACCTTGGGAAAATATATACAATTATTTTTTTTCCAATAGCTATGGTAATTAATGAGTTAATACTGAAGTGGGAAACCTTCAACTGATTCATTTCCTAGTAACACAGGAAGTCAACAATTGCCAAAAGAGGTTTTTAAAAAACAAGAATTGATTGTGATATTGAAAAGAACTATAATGTGGTCTTATTCATTCAAGGTCAGAAAATAGTCTGATTTAGACTGATTGACTATGCCATAGGCAAAGAGCAGATGCACATACTGTCCTATGCGGCATGTGTTCATATAATATCCATACCCATAATGCTCTTTCCTTTGCAAAAAACAATACCATGCAAACTGCAAAATAATAATAATAATAATAATAATAATAATAATAATAATAATAGTATTAGGTAAGCAAAATAACTCAAGAGGAGAATATACAAGAAAATACAACCAATTGGAATTTACACCAACACCTTCATATAGGCTTCCACACTTTTCAGTCTTTCATACCAGATTTGATTTCACCATGTACATACATTTGTTTATTTTTCTTTAAGTTTGTACTGTGTTTTCAAGGAGTTTTCAACTTTCCTTACCCCATTCACTCTTATATTTGTTTTGCAATTTTATCCCATTCATTCTCTGTGAAACCAAACCACTTCAGTTAATTTTGTTATTTGAGTCGTTCACATTTGTATTTTATCACACATCTTACGACTTAACACTCGTTGCAAACAATTTGGGTTCTCAGTCACAAACATAGCATCCTTTGCTTACAAAACTGTACAGTAAACCTTGTCATGGCCCAATCAGCACATCTATACTGCAATGTAACACAAGCATATATTACATATTTCTTTGTAAACAACCAAGGGAACATTATACACCTTTGTCTTACTCTCTGCTTGTACCATTTACTAAGCATTCCATTTATTTTCAAGCATGTTTTACTTTGATTGTATACAGCTTTACTGTAATTGCATTCATCAATCAGTCTTTAATTCAATATCCATGCAAAATGCTATATAATTATAGGATTTTAAATCTTTCAGCGTAAACCTCTGTAATCTCAGGAAATCAAAAGAAAAAAATACAAAAGTATAGTTTTATACAGTTTTAAGGTTGCAAGAACTTTAACACAATGCTAGAAAAATATATGAATCAAAAGGATAATTCATCAACACTAAGACTGGACAAAATCCTTCCTCCTAACTAACACACATATCTTCAACTATTTTTTTTCTCAGTTTCAACCTCTAATGGAGTTCCAAGAAACAAACCATATAAGTGGAAGTTTTGAAAATGGGGGGAAAAAACCCATAGTATAGGTAGTCCTCGACATACGACCACAATTGAGCCCAAAATTTCTGTTGCTAAGTGAAACATTTGTTAAGTAAGTTTGTCTCATTTTACAGTATTTCTTTCACAGTTGTTAAGTAAATCGCTGTAGTTGTTAAGTTAGTCAAACTGTTGCTGAGTGAATCTGGCTTCTCCATTGACCTTGCTTGTCAGAAGGTCGCAAAAGGGGATCACGTGACCCCCTGGGACACTGAAACTGTTATAAATATGAGTCAACTGTCAAGCGTCTGAATTTTGATCACATTCCCATACGGGTGCTACGATGGCTGTAAGTGTGAAAAATGGTCGTGTCACTATTTTCAGTGCTGTTATAACTTTGAACGATCACTAAATGTAAATTGAGGACTACCTGTACGGAGAGGAAGGAAACCCAGCTTTTATAAAATGCCCTGAAAAATTTCTGACCAGCGGGAAACACTAAATCTGCTTGGAAGATCCCATTTCAGGTTTAGTGGAGTACTATTTGAGCTTGGAGGAGAGAACCGGCAGCACTAGGGTGTAAATGTGTAAATGCTGGAACACAAGAAAAAAAAATAGTTGCTAGTACAATTTAAAAACAAGTATCCTAAATTAAAAGGCAAAGATTCAACAGTATGGCATAGTCTCTGAAAGGAAGATACAAATATAACAATAATAAGTCTGACTGACTGCGGCTGCATTGGCTCTCAAAGGTGAAAAGTTTTTGGAGGGATGTAAAGGATATGATTGGGAAAGTTTTAATGAGTTTGAGCAACGTGGTGGGACTAAGCTAACATATGACCGACAATCTTTGCTGGTATGGCAAGTTTTTAGCTGGTTTGGAACTGTTGATGTGACCATTAAAAGTCATTTGCACTGTTTGAAATTGTTCTGCCGTCAGCAAGATCTGACTGCTGGCACAGCGACGGATTCTATTGCAAATCAGGGCTGTTTCCGAAGGAGGCAGAGAAGGAGAGATCCTGGGGCTTATGGAACGAAGGAACTGGATGAGGCTGTCAGCATGCCCAGAGGAAGAGACAGAGGCTTTTGGAGAAATTGGAGGTAGTGGCAGCATGCTCTAGGGGCGCAAAGGAGCAAGGCCCCTTTAAGGAAAAGGTGGAAGAGACAGGATCAGAAAAAGAAAAAGAGGCGAGATTGTCACACAGGAATACAAGCTAATTTGAGGACTAATCCACATGGAGCTCCATTTCCGTCTGTCCTGTTTGCATTGTTTGCTCCCTAGAGACTAAAATGGATGTTCTGAATCTTGAGCTGGCCACATGTATATGTGTATGTGTATATACCTCCGATATGTGTATATCGGAGGTAGTAACCCTTTGAGAGCTGTATGCAATGAAATTTCATTTTGATGTATGCCTATTGGTGTACATTCAAAGTGACAATAAAGTTGTTATTGTTGTTGTTGTTGTTGTTATTATTATTATTATTATTATTATTATTATTAGGGCTTTTTTGTCATAGAATGCACGGAACGGCATTCTGGCACCTTTTTTCAATGGATTTTCAACTTCCACAGAAACACTAGTGAAGGTGGCTCTTCACTCAGCTCATGCTGCTTTGGTGCATGGTTAGTCCCGGGGCACAACTCATGTGCTTGCACCACCAGACTCGGATGCTGTCTCCTGAGGGGAGGGGGAGCATCCCTTGGAGGCAGCACGTGCTGCCCCCGAGAAACACTTGAAGAAAAAAAATAAGAAAAACAATTCCTCCAATGGTCGATAGGTGGGAGACAGTGTGAAAGCACTCTCTGTGCCCAGAGAGTCGACGATGGGAAGCGGCAGTGCGAGGGTGAGGGAGCGCCTCCCATCTCTGGCCCACTATGGAGGAGGAGGAGGAAGAGGAGGAGGAGAGGCGTGAGGGTGGACAGTGACTCCCTTTCACTGCCAGAAGACTGCCGTGCGCATCGACTATGCTATGAGTAGCGCCGCCATCACCTCTTACTTAGAGCCACCAAAATGCAAGAGAACCAAGGCACTGCCCCCTCACCATGCACGGGCTGTGCTACTACCTCTGTTGGCTTTCGAAAGCCAACAGGAATTGCCTGGACCTGGTTGCTGACAGCTGTCTTTGCACCTCCAAGCGCTCCAAGGGATCCGGCTGGCAAATGCTGTGCATCAAAATTGTCTGCAGCAGAGGCAAGTTGGCAGAATCTTTGCACCCCTCCCTGCTGCCCAACTGCACCATCTTCTTGTGAGTAAGAGAGGACCGGGGGTGGGAGGTGGGAGGAGCAGCGCTTAATACTGCGTAGATCTGGGAACTGCAAAGAAAGAACTGCAAGGGGAACTCTCAGGTGGCATCTGCTGTGTTTGCAGGCGAAACATGGATTAAGTGTTATGGTTTCAGACAAACCCAGTTCCAAGACAAAGGGCTTAAGGGTTGTGTAGCCCTTAATGTTTACACCACCTTTTGCGGCATTTGTTGGGAAGTAGTCACTGCTGGGCTTGTGATTGGTCATGTGGTCGCACGCTGAGTGCTTACTGAGAGTGGCAACTGTTGTTTTGCTACACAACTGACGTGTGCGGGTGTGTATACAGTGACTGACAATGCGCAAAAGGTAAATAATTTCTTTATTTTAAAAAATCATTGGTGAATTTTTTTTTAATTTTTAGTGTAAAAGTGTAACCCCAAATTTAAAAATGAAAAAAAATACTAATTACTTCTCAACCACTGGTCCTGCTAATAAAAAGGCCAGAATATTAACAGACACAATGACAGAACATATGAAAATAACAACGCCTGTTGATATTTCTGAATCTGATCTTGAGAAACAATGCCAAATTACAAATGACTGGCTGGACTGCTGGACCTATGATCAAAAAAATGATTTTTGCTTGAAAAATGAATGGCTCTGTGTTTACAAAATGAAAGTTGGCTGTACGCCTTGTAGAAAAGTTGGAACTCTTGGAATTGAAATAAAATGGGAATGAAACTTTCCAAAGAATGGACCAACAATAAGATACCCTATTCTGACAAAGATAGGAAGCAACAGCTGAACTCACTTCAAAAAAATTTTTTTTGATCACATAAAGCAACATTAAAAATAGTTGCTGAAAGCGAAAAAAATGACTCTTGAGAATGTTTTTTTAATCTCATTATCTCATGAAAAAATAATAACTGCAAAGGAAAATCAATCATTCCATCATTTTGAAACTGAAATTGATCTTCAAAAACTGAACGGAGTTGAAATGGGTCGTATTCTTCATTCTACAAATGCATGTATTAACACT